TGTTTCTTATAATAGGTATCCAACAAATACCTATAAAAGGAATGGAAGGATGTCTCTACTGTGTTTCCATTATTATCCCATTGGGTTAAAGTGAGGCTAATTATATTTCTTAAAATAGAAGTGATTGAGAAAATCCAAAACAGGTTATACATACAAATAATACCTGAAATGGCATTTTAGGACAGGCTCATGGCTTATTTAACCCGGGGTTACCTCTCTTTTAGGGCAACAATAGGAGTCCTGATGGACAGTCCGGAGGGTCTCACAAAAGTCAAGCTGCCACACATGCATGACAAACAGGCTGTCATACACAACTTATTATTGTTCCATTTTTCTTACATTTTTTTCTGCTAACGTTTATGTAATCAGCCTGTATTATTTCTGGCTGTGTTGTGTTCCCTGAATATAGCATTTGCTGGCTTCTTACTGCTCCAGTATTTCAAGCTTCCTATAATGTCACCTCATTAGTCTTATTATTTTTTCATTTATCGTCATTTCAATTTATTTCTAAATATGTTCTTACAACTGAATAGTCTATATGTTTAAATTCTGAAATTTCTTTGACAAAATATGTAAGGCCTACATTAAGTCTTGAGAAATAATCCTGGGGTTTGACAAATAGTGCCAGGGGATAGAAAAATGGTTTAGGAGAAAATGGCTTTAAAAAAAAGCAGGCTTTATTTAGAATGAGGGGCATTAGAGTAGATTGAATTCAGGAGTAACAAAACAAAACAAAAAAATTTTGTGTGGGAATAAGTGCTTTAGAAAGTCACTATGGTATACTAGAAAAGGCATGCTTTGGAGTCAGCAACGCTGGGTAAGAATCAGGTGTCTGTTGTGTCATAATTGTGACACTTTGGACAACTGAATTGATCTCCTGAAACTTTAGTTTTCTTGTTGATAATGCAGGGATGATAATTATTTCATCAGATTCTTGTGAGGATTAAATGGTAGAACATTGAAAAACACCGAGCTTAGTGTCTGTCATAAATTAGACACTAAAACAAACAAACGAGCCGAACAAACTAGCGATCTAAAATGAAAGTAGGTACCAGAAAATTTGCAACAGATTCACGTTCCCCAATATAAAGAAAAACGGTTGTGGTTGATGTTCTCTTTTCAAAAAGAAAAAAAAAATGTTATCCCAAACTCCTGAATAACAGTTCTACTAAAACATGGACTCAGCTTTTGAAAGTGTAAACTGAGGACAAAATGTTTATCTAAAAGCTGTCAAGGCATAAGTTGAATCTCTCCCAAACCTGCACATGGAGTAGGGCAGGAACCAGTGTGTTTGTTTTTGGTATGGCACATCAATAATCTTGGCCACAGAGGTCCCAAGGGTTCATTCAGAACAGGCCTGTGTCTAGTGGTAAACAAAAAACAGATGCTAAAGAAGAGTGGACGGCTCTGGAAAGTCATCAACAAGGCTTTATAAAGAATACATTGTAAGCAAAGCCAGTGTGCCCATGAGAGGTTGCAAAGTCTTGTAGCGACTCTGGAAGCAGTGGCACTTGTATTTCTGCCCCGGGTGTGTATCTTGGTGGCACCAAGACTTTCAAAGCAGGTCCTCATAAGATCTATAAGCAAAACACTGGGAAAGAAGTGCTTGTGGAGCTGTAGCTGGTTAGGAGTTTTGTACCGAAGGGTTACTACCGATGGTTCACCAGTAACATGAAAGGCATTAAACCTAACCTTCCATATTGTTCTTACCAAAGCTTTTCACAGAAGAGCTTGATTTCATCCTATTTCACAATGGTGAAAATGCAAACCTGCAACTGGTGTCCAGGGTTACTGGTGAAAGGGTTACTGAAGGGAGTCATGCCCCTTCAGACATACTTTTGGAGGTGAGTCAGTTCCTCAAGCCCTTTCTGAGTGTCTTCTGGGTACCAGAGACCTATTGTAGACCTTTGGAAAACAGCGATGAGTAAGTCATGGTTTGTGCCCTTGAATAGCTCCTGGCCTAGTAGGGCAAAAGGTGAGACTGACACAGAAATACAGGACCTGCACTATAAAGTGGTAAATGAAAACAGAGAGCCGGAAGTCTAGAGGAATAGCTAGGCCAACGTGGAGATTCCAGGGAGGCTTTCTGAAGGATAAGATGCCTAACAATTCACTGGCATGTGAGGAGTTAGTTATCTGGGTGAGGCTGGGTGAACGGGGACACTTGAGGGCAGTGGCATTCTAGGCAGGGGAATAACCTGTGTGAAATAATGGAATTGTATCCTCATACTGTGTCCAGTTGGGTCCTGAGGGAGTGAACCCCAGGGTGAGAATGTGCTGCAAAAGGAAGTGGAGAAGAAGGTAGTGGCCAAGTCATGGAAGACTATATGTTTAAATATCTTGATTTTGATGTTTTAAGAAATGGGGAATATTTAAGAAGGGAGCACTATGGTCAGATTTCCATTTTAAATCCATCCTTGTACCAATCTAGAAATTACATTTGAAGTAGTAAGGAGAGATCAATTAAGAAGCTATGGAGGGCGGGCCGAGTGGCGCGCTGGTTAAGAGCTGGCTTGGGATGCCAGAGGGCCCAGGTTAGGATCCCACATATGAGGGCCAGTGACACTGCCCTCTACAGCTAAGATGCTGAACAACAGCTCAACCTGGAGCTGGGCTGCCCTGAGTCACCAGCGTAGACTGCAGCCCCCTGTGGCAGTGGGTTGCCATGGGCTACCGTGTGTAGCCAGCAGCCAGCGTGAGCGGCCAGCAGCCGCAGTGAGCGGCCATCCAGAAGCCGGCGACTGATCTGCCTCGCCCGGGAAGAGCGCAATGATGGTGCCAACTTGGGCCAGTGAAGCAATGTCCTCCACAGCTAGACTGAAGAACAAAACAACAGCAACTTGTCTGTTCCCCTTCCCCCAATTCCCCAGCACTTTTCCCATCCCCCCAATTCCCCAATAAAAATCTTTAAAAAAAACCAAGAAGCTATGGAAATTGTCTATGCCAAAGATGCCATGAATCTGAAAGAAGAATGAAGCAGAAAGAGTGAAGGAGAATACAGGTTCAATAAGATAGGAGGTGCAATTGGCAAAAATTAGAGATTGGATGAGCATGGCCGTTCAATAAAATAGTGTTTTAGAGAGAAGAACACAATTCTGCAGGTGCAGATGATAAATTCATGTCAAGGCTGTAGTGCTTGTGACGGCACCTGATAGTTATATACACCACCAAGCATTTGAATCAGGAGAGTGGTCCAGGCTAGAGAAAAAACATACCAAGTCTCAGCAAACACGAGGAAGAATTATATTCCCCAAGGTTTACACATCCATTCATTAATTGACTCATTCACATATTCATTTATTCAGAGAACACTTAATGAGCACCTGTTACATGGAAGGCACTTCATTAGGTTCTGTGGTTGAAATAGTGTACAAAACAGCCTCTGCCTCCACCAAGCCTGGATTCTCTAACCTTGGGAAGAGCATTGGGTCAGGCAGTCATGTAAATGGAGGAAGTGAAGTCCTCAAGGAGACTAAGAAAAGAAGAGGAGGACCAGGAGAAACAAGCTCCTAGAAGTAAAAGAAAGAGAGAAGATGAAGCAGAAGAGTGATCCACATATCAAATATGGCAGAGATGTTCAGTCAACTAAGACCTAAAACGTGTTCATTGGATTGGAAACATGGACACATGCTGACCTGTGTGACAGTGGTTTTAATGGCGTGCAGGGTATAAACTGGACAGCAGTGTATTTAAGAGCATAAAGCAAGTTGGAGACACTGAGTATGTGTAAGAGATTTGGATGAGAAGTGAAAGAGATAGATAGGACGGAAGCTAGATGGGGAAGGACATTCAGTCCAGAGATCTTATAACTTTATCTTTTGCTTGATTTCTCATTTTACAGGGGACTCTGGTCATCTTTACCTTGATATTCCACCAATAATACAAATTCAACAACCAACCACAGCATAAGAAATCCCTATTTCTGTATACACCCTCACTGTTCCTAGATACCTTAGCTTTCAGCTTTGCCTCCTTTTCATCATTTTGATATCGAATCCTTGCAAGACCTGGTTTTTCTTCCCTTTCTATTGCTACCCCTGTACTGCAGACCCTTAGTACATGGTCTATTTTTCCAGCGAAACGAAAGTTTTCTCCACTCGCCTTTTTGCCTAACAACCCATCCTACCCATTGCTGCCAAAATAATGTTGCTAAAACACATTCCTGTTCATGTTACTGCCCTGATCTAAAGGCTTTAGGAGCTTTCCAGTGCCAACAAAATTAAGTGAAAACCCATCAAGCTGGTATTCAAATTTCTACACAATATGGTTCCAATCTAGCGTCTCTGTCTTATATTCATTTTCCCAGATCCTGTACCGAGATCCAGTTAAACTGGCCCGATCACTGTTTCCGAAAGTACTTTTTTTAATCCCACCTTGGCCATAAATTCTAGTTCACATCATTGAAATTTTATCTATCCTTTAAATCCCAGTTCAGTTGTCTTCTTTATAAATTTGTTTGTTAGAATTCCTACTTTTATCCTTTGAACTCCTTGTAATACTTGATCCACAGTGATGCTTTTTGCATTACTGGTATGTTTACAATCTCTGCTATATTTTAAGATCTATGAGACTATGTGCTTAACATGTTTTTTCTTATTAATATCTTCCATCTGGCATACAGTAATTATTTAATACATGATCGACGTTTGTAAGTGAACTCCCAAAGATATAATAATATAAAATTTTAGAGCCCAGAATGACCTTAGAGATGATAGAGTTAAACTATTGTGTTTTATAGATGAAGCAGTTGGAGCTAGGACATGTTAGGTCACCTGCCCAGATCACAGATCTATCTCGTCGCTGACTCTCAGTCCAGGCCTCTTTCCATCTCACAACAGCATCTCTTTGGGAAGCTTGAGTTGAGCCATCTTCCTCATCACTGTTGCCCCTGACTTTGGCATCTACCTGAGCGTTAAAGACGTAGATTTCTTCCTAGTCTCTTTGTGCGTTCACAACCTAAGGAAAAACTGGGCAGAGGCTTGAGCCACACGCCAACTTACCAGACGGAAGAGAGAAATGGTGTTCCCAGTGATGTTGTAGTGGGCCCAAACCTCAGGATCACTGCTGATTCCAAATGCCACGTCCTGGAATTTTTGCACCATACTATGGAATACGGACGCCATGGGTATCTCTACATCCTAAGAACAAGGGGGAAAGAAAACCTCACAGAGGTTATTTTGGAGACGAGCGACATAGAAACAGAATAGTGAGTAGAACTGTCCTTACTCAAATCAGAAATCATAGATAGACTTGATTTAGTGTCCAGGGTAACATTTGCTTCTAAGAATGCAGACTAAATTCGCAGCAACATTGCTGAATTTTCCAGACTGGGTGGTTTAATTGGTAACTGTAAAGTTGTGGCTAAGCCTGGGACTCTTGCCTGGCCTTACCATAGAACTTGTGGTTTATTACTAGCTGAGAGGGTCCTCAAAATCACAGGCCTCTGCAAAGTTGGGCTGCACTGTCATGGATATACCCGAGGAGACAAGTGTGTTAGGAGCAATTTGTGGAGGCAAATATAAGAAATAAGTGTTATCAAAAGGGCCAAAAAAGAAAAAAAGAGGAATTAAAATGGAAGCTCAAGGGCTGGCCGAGTGGCACGTTGGTTAAGAGCTTGCTTGGGACACCAGCTCTGAGCAGCAGGGCTCCGGTTCAGATCCCACATGGGCCAGTGACGCTGCGCCCTCTACAGCTGGTGATGATGGTGAACAACAGCTCAACCTGGAGCTGGGCTGCTGTGAGTCGCCAGCGATGACATAGGCTGCAGTGAAGCTGCAGTGGGCTGCCATGAGCTACCATGAGTGGCTGGCAGCTGACGTGAGCAGCCGACAGCCAGCATGAGCTGCCAAGAGCCGCCGCGAGCGGCCATCCAATGGCCGGTGACCAATCTGCCTCAGCCGGGAAGAGTGCAATGATAATACCAACATGGGCCAGTGAAGCGACGTTCTCCACAACTTGACTGAAGAACAAAAAGGACAGTAATTTGTCTGTCCCCCTTACTGGATCCCCCAACGCTGTTCCCCTCCCCCAGTTCCCCAATTAAAAAAAAAAAGTTCCCTCATGTCCCTGGGCTTGTTTTTATAAGCTGTTAGCTTACCATATATTTGGTAAATATGTACTTTAAAAAATATTTAATAATTTGACATAGCTTACTTTTTGCGTTTCCTATCAATTTATTTTTATGCACTAGTTCCTGCTGATTCTCTTTGTTTGGCAAGGTGTGTTTCTTATAATAGGTATCCAACAAATACCTATAAAAGGAATGGAAGGATGTCTCTACTGTGTTTCCATTATTATCCCATTGGGTTAAAGTGAGGCTAATTATATTTCTTAAAATAGAAGTGATTGAGAAAATCCAAAACAGGTTATACATACAAATAATACCTGAAATGGCATTTTAGGACAGGCTCATGGCTTATTTAACCCGGGGTTACCTCTCTTTTAGGGCAACAATAGGAGTCCTGATGGACAGTCCGGAGGGTCTCACAAAAGTCAAGCTGCCACACATGCATGACAAACAGGCTGTCATACACAACTTATTATTGTTCCATTTTTCTTACATTTTTTTCTGCTAACGTTTATGTAATCAGCCTGTATTATTTCTGGCTGTGTTGTGTTCCCTGAATATAGCATTTGCTGGCTTCTTACTGCTCCAGTATTTCAAGCTTCCTATAATGTCACCTCATTAGTCTTATTATTTTTTCATTTATCGTCATTTCAATTTATTTCTAAATATGTTCTTACAACTGAATAGTCTATATGTTTAAATTCTGAAATTTCTTTGACAAAATATGTAAGGCCTACATTAAGTCTTGAGAAATAATCCTGGGGTTTGACAAATAGTGCCAGGGGATAGAAAAATGGTTTAGGAGAAAATGGCTTTAAAAAAAAGCAGGCTTTATTTAGAATGAGGGGCATTAGAGTAGATTGAATTCAGGAGTAACAAAACAAAACAAAAAAATTTTGTGTGGGAATAAGTGCTTTAGAAAGTCACTATGGTATACTAGAAAAGGCATGCTTTGGAGTCAGCAACGCTGGGTAAGAATCAGGTGTCTGTTGTGTCATAATTGTGACACTTTGGACAACTGAATTGATCTCCTGAAACTTTAGTTTTCTTGTTGATAATGCAGGGATGATAATTATTTCATCAGATTCTTGTGAGGATTAAATGGTAGAACATTGAAAAACACCGAGCTTAGTGTCTGTCATAAATTAGACACTAAAACAAACAAACGAGCCGAACAAACTAGCGATCTAAAATGAAAGTAGGTACCAGAAAATTTGCAACAGATTCACGTTCCCCAATATAAAGAAAAACGGTTGTGGTTGATGTTCTCTTTTCAAAAAGAAAAAAAAAATGTTATCCCAAACTCCTGAATAACAGTTCTACTAAAACATGGACTCAGCTTTTGAAAGTGTAAACTGAGGACAAAATGTTTATCTAAAAGCTGTCAAGGCATAAGTTGAATCTCTCCCAAACCTGCACATGGAGTAGGGCAGGAACCAGTGTGTTTGTTTTTGGTATGGCACATCAATAATCTTGGCCACAGAGGTCCCAAGGGTTCATTCAGAACAGGCCTGTGTCTAGTGGTAAACAAAAAACAGATGCTAAAGAAGAGTGGACGGCTCTGGAAAGTCATCAACAAGGCTTTATAAAGAATACATTGTAAGCAAAGCCAGTGTGCCCATGAGAGGTTGCAAAGTCTTGTAGCGACTCTGGAAGCAGTGGCACTTGTATTTCTGCCCCGGGTGTGTATCTTGGTGGCACCAAGACTTTCAAAGCAGGTCCTCATAAGATCTATAAGCAAAACACTGGGAAAGAAGTGCTTGTGGAGCTGTAGCTGGTTAGGAGTTTTGTACCGAAGGGTTACTACCGATGGTTCACCAGTAACATGAAAGGCATTAAACCTAACCTTCCATATTGTTCTTACCAAAGCTTTTCACAGAAGAGCTTGATTTCATCCTATTTCACAATGGTGAAAATGCAAACCTGCAACTGGTGTCCAGGGTTACTGGTGAAAGGGTTACTGAAGGGAGTCATGCCCCTTCAGACATACTTTTGGAGGTGAGTCAGTTCCTCAAGCCCTTTCTGAGTGTCTTCTGGGTACCAGAGACCTATTGTAGACCTTTGGAAAACAGCGATGAGTAAGTCATGGTTTGTGCCCTTGAATAGCTCCTGGCCTAGTAGGGCAAAAGGTGAGACTGACACAGAAATACAGGACCTGCACTATAAAGTGGTAAATGAAAACAGAGAGCCGGAAGTCTAGAGGAATAGCTAGGCCAACGTGGAGATTCCAGGGAGGCTTTCTGAAGGATAAGATGCCTAACAATTCACTGGCATGTGAGGAGTTAGTTATCTGGGTGAGGCTGGGTGAACGGGGACACTTGAGGGCAGTGGCATTCTAGGCAGGGGAATAACCTGTGTGAAATAATGGAATTGTATCCTCATACTGTGTCCAGTTGGGTCCTGAGGGAGTGAACCCCAGGGTGAGAATGTGCTGCAAAAGGAAGTGGAGAAGAAGGTAGTGGCCAAGTCATGGAAGACTATATGTTTAAATATCTTGATTTTGATGTTTTAAGAAATGGGGAATATTTAAGAAGGGAGCACTATGGTCAGATTTCCATTTTAAATCCATCCTTGTACCAATCTAGAAATTACATTTGAAGTAGTAAGGAGAGATCAATTAAGAAGCTATGGAGGGCGGGCCGAGTGGCGCGCTGGTTAAGAGCTGGCTTGGGATGCCAGAGGGCCCAGGTTAGGATCCCACATATGAGGGCCAGTGACACTGCCCTCTACAGCTAAGATGCTGAACAACAGCTCAACCTGGAGCTGGGCTGCCCTGAGTCACCAGCGTAGACTGCAGCCCCCTGTGGCAGTGGGTTGCCATGGGCTACCGTGTGTAGCCAGCAGCCAGCGTGAGCGGCCAGCAGCCGCANAAAAAAAAAAAAAAAAAAAAAAAAAAAAAAAAAAAAAAAGAAAGCTCAGACGTTTTGTTAACAAAGGTTTGCTTGTGCAGGATGTGGACGAATGGTCCTCCTCCTTCTACTGTGTGTAAGCCTGAGGGCGCGCCCGTGGAAGTGACTGTTCATGTGTTGCTCCCGCTCTGGGACCCAGGCCTGCAGGAGGGAGCAAGGAAGCCACTTCTGAGTGATGAGTCCAGTCCTGCTGAAGCAAGTGGGCATCATTTTCCCTGCTGTCACAGGACCATTGCCCACAGCAGCTCCAGGTAATAAACAGGAGTGAACATATTCTTCCCTGACATCTCTCTGGGCTGAGAGGGGAGATGTGCAAGAGAAAGGAAGATGGCTAGCCTAAGATGGCTAGCCTTGCATCTGGGGTCATGCAAAGGGAGTTGGTACGCTGCTCATCTGAAAGGGTGTGTGCAGTTCATCTGAGGCCATGAGCAATTGTTAACCTAGGCTTCCCCACTTTTATCCTGATCCTTAGAGTGGAACTGCTCACAGATCAAATGACGGCACCTGGTGGCTGTTTAAGTTATTGCACACTCCTCCAGTTTCGCTTCCTTGCCCCTCCCTGCCTTTCTGAGGGTGGCTGTTTTTGTCTACAGCTCAGATCTCTCATCACTGAAAAATGTGCTCCCCCCTGTTCTTCCCCAGCTTGCATCTCATCACAGCTATTTCCTGCTGTGTACACAGAATGGCCAGAATGATGTGAGTTGGAATTAATGAATGGAAACAGACAAGAAGGCCTACAATGAGAGAGAAGGGCTTGATCAGCTCTGAAAATCACCAGATGTTACCTCCGGAGAAAGATAAAAATGCTGGAATGATGCCCTCTCATTTATGGCTGCTTTCAATAGCCAGGCAGCCAGTCTGGAAGATAGAGGCTAACACCTTCAATATATAAAATGTCATTCCTTTCAACATTTCAGAGCAAAAAAAAAAGAGAAAGGAGAATGTGGGATGACCAATTTGGTCAGGCTTTAGACAGAGCTAACTATTGACTAATGCATTGCCAGGATGATAGAAGTTGGCTTTACTCTGGCCCCTGCCTCAGCAATCAGATACTGACTTAAGCTTCAAAGCATCCATAGATGAGGAGACCCAGCCAGCAGCCTCAAAACTCTTGAAGCAAGCTTGAGAAAGACGTAATTCAGAGACTTGCAAAGACTAGAAATTGAGAGATCTTGAATGACAAAGCTGAAAGAAGACTCTATGCCCCTTGGCTTCTGATGTAGAGTCATCTGGCCAGCAAGTGACTGCCATGGCTCCTTTGAAATAGAACATGTCTGGTTTCTTGCGGGGGGCAGCAAGTGGGGTATCTGGACAAACCTGGAAGAAGCCTATGACAGCCACCTCGGCGGCAGCAATGAATTCCATGGCAGCTGGGACATCTGTGAGCCACACGGGTTCCTGGGAAACACCAGGACCATCTAGACACAGAGAGGGGGGGACGGGAGGGGGGGGAGAGAGAGAGAGAGAGAGAGAGAAGGTGTTAGGGACTGGACAGAGAAGCAACTCTAAATAATGAGGGCATCTACAATTTCTCTCTTCTCCCTAAGGCCAACAAGATCTAGGGGTGCAATTATCATGCCAAAGCTTTATTTATTTACTTTTTGCCAACATATGGAGGGCAACCCCAGCTTATGGCCTCTCTCTGAAGGACAATGTCAGCCTTCCCTTGTCTCCACTAGGCAACACAGGTCTTCAGCCTGTATTTCCTGGAAATTTTTCTAGGTTTTGAGGAAAAGTACCCAGAGTACTACCATGCCCCCATCCCTTCTCCTGACAACACTTTCACCCAGCGGTCACTCAAGGGCGTTTTTTCTTTTACCTGAGGAATCCTGAATCTCTGCAGCAATATCTGGGGACAGCTCACACGTGATGAGAAATAATAGAAACAGGCACCTGGATAGGGCAGCTTCCATAGCTCTTCTCCTGCTCCAGCCCCTGGCCTTTGTGTCTGGGGACGCGGAGTCAGGGCAGCCCGCTCTGCAGTTAATTGGCCGTGGTGTTCTTAGTGCCCTGGGAACTCTGCAGCTGGCTCTAAGGGGACCTTCAACTTCTGAGATAAAATACCAAGTTCCGTGACGGGGCCTTAGAATAAAACCAACCTGCACAAAGTCAGGTCAGTTCATTTAAATAAGAAAAAGTATTCTATGCCAACTATAAGCACTAGGGATACAAAGATGATGCTGATTTGATCCAGCTTCTCCCAGCTGAGATTGTCAATGTGAGAGATGGACAAATAAACAGATTGTTTCAATATAAAATGGAAAGTGATAAAAAATTGAGACAGTCCTAGAGTGTTATGAGGATACAGACTGAGGACGTTTAGGACAATGGTGGGTTGGGTGAAGGCTTTCTTCCTGCAGGGAATGCCCAAGCAGAGTCCTGAGTAAATAGTTTTGCCAGGCAAAAAAGATGGAAAGGGAGTTTCATGTAGAGGGCCAAAGCACAGAGATGCAAATGTAACATGTAAGGGAATTATTAGTAATTGAGTATTAAAAAAGGAAGAGTGTGATAAATATGGTCAGAAAGGCATGCTGGGGCCAGACTGCAGAGGGCCTTATCCACTAAACATAGGAGCTTCAATTTTATTTTGTAGGTAATGGGAATCCATTGAAAGATCTTAAGCAGGAGAGAAACAGTGTCTGATTTGGCCCACGGGTGCCTACAGAACTCCAAGATTCCCACAGGCAGTGGGATACCTAGGTCTCAAGGTTAGGAAAAGCTTTCATATGATAATACCATAAAATAAAACAAATTGAGATGTTTACCGTATCATATTTTAAGCGTTCATTGCCCATGGCACTGAACAGGGGCCCCAAACTGTTGCCAGCGACGTAAATGCCTCCTCTATTGTGCCCCGCCCCGCCCCCTCTGAGGAAACTCATGAGTGTGAACCATCCAGGTACCATATTTGTTCAAACGAAGAAAGCAGGGAAGCGCGGGTCTCAGATCATACAGTTATTTTATTCATACTTGTTTGTGCCATTTACAATGTCTCCCAGAAAAGAAGAACCCAACTGGCAGGGAATGTGACGAGGGACCTTCACTGAGCCAGCAGCAACCACAGGACAATCCAGGGCTGGGAGGGAGCACTGGGAACCAAGGCAAAAGGGCAGGTAGTGACCCATCGTTGGCCCGTTTCCTGGCCTCTAGCTGCTCACATGGGAGTAAGACAAGATATATTAAATGACTGTGTTGAGGTGAAGAGCTTCAAAGAGCTGGCCAGGATGAGGGATCAGAACGAGTAGGCATGATGAAAGCCTGGGTTTTAAGCGTCCAGTGCTAGGGGCCACTTTGAGAGAGCGCGTGAGAGAAGCTGCGTCAGTAAGAGAATGTGGGGGCCCAGCTGTGATCAGGAAGGAGGGACATGACTAAGAGGGTTCTTCCAGGTGGCAAGTGTCGGGATGGGGATGGGAGGATATGCTCATTCTGTCCACTCCTTCTTAATGGACAGGTTCCACTCCCAGGTGAGGTGGTCATGCTTGTCATCGTCGGTGAAGAAGGACTTGTTGTGGTAGGTGCCTCGGGCCAGCATGCCCTTGGGAGCCTCCTCAGTCGGAGTCAGGAACTCATACTCCTCTGGCCGAGGCCCGTAGCTGCCAACCATAAACGTGGCTTTATCCACTGGGGAGAAGGATAAGAAGGATAAGATATTAGGGTAAGAGTCCAACAGAGGAAAAACAAACCTATTACCTAGGTAGTGTAGTAGTATTCGTTTCAATTAGACAGGTTTCTCAGTTCCAGAAAAGAGTTGTGTTTTTTTTTGTTTTTCTATTTCTTTGTTTAGGAAATAAACACCCACCCCCTGCTCCCCCCTCCTCCATGCTACTCCCAACTCCCATTCTCAACAAACACACATGCCATTGCATGTGTTTCCTGTCTTGGATTTCTCTGACACTCAGGCTTTATACCTGTGAGCTGCTTTATTTTTATTTATTTTTTTTACTTTTGAGAGTACCTTTTTTTTTTTTTTAAAGATTTTTATTGGGGAATTGGGAAGGGGAACAGCCAAGTTGTTGTCCTTCAATTTTAGTTGTGGAGGGCGCAGCTAGCTCAGCTCCAAGCCCAGTCGCCATCCAGCTGCCCATCGGCAGCTCGCGGCCACTCAGCTCAAGGTGCCGTGTTTAATCTTAGTTGCGGGGAAGGGGGGTGGGAGAGGCGTAGCCCACCATCCCATGCGGGACTCAACTGGCAAGCTTGTTGTTAGGAGCACATGCTCTCACCAGCTGAACCATCCTGCCACCTCTTGGCAGCTCAGCTGCAGCTCAGCTTGGGCGCAGCTCACTGACCCATGTGGGAATTGAACTGGTGACCCTGTTGCTCAGAGCTCATGCTCTTAACCAACTGAGCCACTCGGCCGCCCTGAGAGTACTTTTATATACTTTATTTTATTCACAATTATCCTGGATATTCTTTCCTTTTGTAAGCAATAAAGTTGAATTCCAGAAGCTCAGTGCCGTCTCAGCCTGAACTAGGCCTCCTGAATGTAGGCCTTTCCATTAACATCTAGGTCAGAGGTGTATTTGTGCCCTTCCCTAGGGTGAGTGTCTGCAGCTTTTGTCAGATGCTCAAGTGCGTTATGCCTAAAAACTGCTAATAACCAGAAGTTGAAGTGTCAATGGGAAGCAGGGTTTGGGACGGTGTCAAATGGAGACCCCTTACCTTTCACCCCAGTCCGGTAGGTGTGCTGAACGTATTTCAGGCCTGACACAATATCCTTGTTCACCTGTAGGTAGGAAGGGCCCAAGCAATCCAGATTAAAAAGTCTCTTTCACTTTTTTCCTCACCATTCATTCTCATCCTACCTAGCTGAGTCTTCTCTGAGGATGAAGAGACTGAAGATTTAGTTCAGAATAAGTGTTACTGTTATCACTGAGTGTGGTGGTGTGGCAGAGATCTGAGAGAGGCCTTCACAAGGTTCAACGTTGCCAATCTGGTTTTAATTTTCGAACAATGTAATTGTTTGGTTTTGGGGAGGGGGGTAGTTAATTAAAACAATGTCTCTGTAATTTTCGTTGCGTTTCTCCTTCCTCAATAGTTTAAAGAATGGTTTTGGGCTTCCCCTCCCTCATACTGCTGGCCAGGAGACCATCCTCGTCTTAGGAAAGGTTACAAAGGTACCAATGGGAAATGTTATGTAAACATCTGAAGACCCTAACCTCAGAAATGATCCACCTAGCGTATGAAAAACAAGCAACAAGGAGAAAAGCCATCATGGAAAGTCAGGTCACGAAGGTGGTTGTAATGTGACTGTGAGTGGAGCCTAGAGATGAGGGGCCACACAAAAACATCCTCCCCATATACAAATAACGGGTGAAACCCACTTGTATCTGGCAAGTATTTTGGATGTCTGTCATTTTCAGACGTTGTCTGAGGTCTTGCCACTTTCCCAAACCTTTCAAAGAAAATTAAGTAAAGCAGAATGAAAATATAGAGCCCAAGCATTTTGTTTTTCCATGAGTCACTTTACCTAGGATTGAACTGGGTTGTCCGTCAATTTTATTCAGTGGTCATGCTTATACAAACAAATTAAAGTGGCCATTGCATCATTACCTGGAAGGCTTGGTTAATTGTTTGTCGCTATGAAGAATTAAAGGATCTTCAAATAATTTCTCCCCAACAATAATTATAGCTCCCTTTATGCTTTGGACAAAATAATTAAACCAGTCTGTCAGTGCTACACTTTGTTTTGTTGGTAATGAGGTAGCATATCAGTGACTACTGCCAGTTTAGGTTCTAGACTGTCAGTAAAATCTGTGACAGAATGAAAACAGATTCACTGAAGAAATTATGATAAAAAAATGCAAACTTCCTAATTACTCTGACTCCCACATGTGACTCATAGGAGTAGGGAAAATGAATGGATCTGTCTAGAATTCTCTAAGCTGGTCCCTTGGGCCCAGTAGGAGATGTGGTCTGCTGGGAAAAAGACCTAAAAACAGGATTGGTGGTGGAGTAGCAATAAGGACTTCAAAACAAAGAATCTCCTGTTTTTCTATTGCTTCATAGGATAAGCATTTAATATAAATATGTTTGAGATGGGTAAAAGAAAAATATGAATAGTTGTAGTATTCTCTTCCTCTGCTTGCACGCCCCTCTGCATTGATTCTCCCACACCAGGAGGAGGAAGCCCTGGTGACATGAATAGAAGTAAGAGCTGTGGGAGTCAGGGCTGCATTTCCTTGGGAGGCCGAAGGAAAAGGGGGAGAAACTAAAAGAACCATCCCAGGCCAAGATTTTGGAAAGCATTGTGAAGTCTCAGGGGAGAAAGAGAAGAACACTGAGAACAACTAAGAGAGATAAAGAGGATTTTAGGATGTGTTGCTGGTGTTACAAATGCAAACCTTCTTGGATATTTTTCAAGAGACATCAGTAAAGATTTAAATTGCTTTTCAATTATTTTCAAGTTTTAACTGGTGTTTCTTCTCACTGTTGTTCCACGCTGGGACAGGCCACAGGGTGGTTCAGGCTTATGTGGGTTACATACAAAGAATGATGGTTCCTCTGTTAGAGACCAGGCCAAACCTCGCAGTGGATGGGATGTGACAACCCCTTTCTGTGCCTTGTCCTCCATCACCTTAATGCATAACCCTGACTGCTGAGGACACACACCACTGCATCCTTTCTCAGCCTTCCCAGCAGAAGTCCATGCACCAGACCTTTCCTTCCCATCTCACTCACATAAAAATTTACTGGTCATTGTTTCACTTGATAAAAACTGGCTTACTAAATTGAGAAATTAAGGCAGTAGCATTCATGATTAAAAATTGGACTATTCTAGGCATATTTGGTTCCAATGCCTTACCAAACTCTGAGGTGCTTTAGTAATAATTAGAACTACAGGACACAAGGAAGTGAACCATAGCTCAGTGTCTATTATAGGGGTATCAACACATATCTTCAGAATGAAATTATTTTGAGGCATATTTGTACGTGGTGAAGAGTGATTGTCCTTGGACCTCGAATCATAGCCTGCAACTCTGGGAAAAAAAGGCCGGCTGTGCGAATTGGGAGGGTAGGTGGGGCTTTCCTTAATGGAGCCCAGACCCTGGAGGTCTGGCAACCATGGCAAATAGAAGCCATTAACAGCAAGCGGTGAATTCGTGACCTATTTGGTTTCAAAGTCAAGGTTATTTTTCTCCTTGGTTTTGTCTGCTCAGTATATGTGCCTGTTCACTGTATGTCACTTTATCTCTTATTTGGTTTTGCACTTACATGTTCTACTTGCTCCACAACTAAATTGTAATTTCCAGTATTAACCAAGGGCCACAATGCCTAGATTTATATAATTACTGAGCAAGTAGAGCTGAGGTTCTATTTGTTCTACTTTTTTTCCCCTATTAATTGATTCATTCATTTATCTGTTTCTCAATAAATATTCACTAGATATATGCCACTCACAAAGTTTTGTCTAAAATATTGGAAAGAAGGGGTGTATAATCTCTCCCTATCTCAAGGTGCTTAGGCTGTATGGGGAGAAAGGACACAAATGGTGTATAATACAGAGGAGTGTGTGCCTGGTGGATGAGAGTATTAGAAATGCACAGAGAGAGGGATCCCATTGGCTTAAGTGGTCAATGGAAAGTTCAACCAGAGAGTCCTGGTTGGGAAAAGGCAGGATGCAAGGTTGGGTCTCAACAGTAGGGCCCGGAGTCCAGGACAACATTGGCCAGATGCAGAGAAAAAGGCAACAAACAAAAGGTATGCCAACATGATAATGCAAGAAATTTGATTCTTCCTCTGATTATAGGAAGGACTTAAGCTTTATAAAAACATACAAGGCAAGGTACTTACTTTGAAGTGAATTTTGACTCTATATTCAACACCTTCTTTTAGCACAAAAGTTTCTTTTTTGAGGGCCTGGAGATCCCCTGTAGAAGTGGAGTTTAGTTAGAAAGAGTTTATTCTCCTCAGAAGGAGATACACAAGGTCGTCAGTGAAGTTTGAGCTCCAGAGCCATTTGCTGGGCCCTTCAGGGCAACGTGGTCCCCAGGGCTCTCAGTTCAAAGAATACTGGAGATTACTGGCTGCACAAACATACACTTGAAATGCTTGGAATCTTACAGCTTCGTATGAAAGAAATGGGATTTCGTTTGACAACAACTCTAAGAATATACAAGATGGTACCAGTAATAAGTTACATACAAAAATAAATCTTTTGTAATTGTCAATAATAAAAATAAGCTTTAATCAATCATCCCAGAGGAAAGTCTGAATTATCATTCCATTCTCTCTATTGCAAATGACATTACATATTGTAGTCAAACGAAAAGACGATTAAAGAATATGCCCCTACATCTCAGATAAAGAAATATAGGAAAAATATGATATAAGAGCACCAACTATTTGTTTTTGTAGATTTTGTCATGTTTGTGGCACTTTTTAGCTTTTAAAAATTTACTTGTTTTGGTTCTTTTTTATCATTCTAAATAAATTTTCATTTTTATATTTAATTTTGAATTTGCATTTGCAATTTCGTATTACTTTCCTTAAGGAAAGTCACTTAAGTTATAACAGCTTTAGGCCCCATAAAAGTGGGATCTGCCCTTAAATCCTATACCCTGGTTAGAGAAGTAATCATTATCTGTTCTTCTCCCA